GGGGACGGGGGGGCTCGGCAGAGCGGGGTTGCGACCCTGATTGGGGCCACTGTTGCTGGGGGTGCGGTGGCGCGCGTTTGAGGAAAAGCATGGCGTGTACTGCAGGGTGTCGTGGCCAGCAGGGGGGGTGTCGGTGGGGAGCAGTGCAGGCCGGCGTCCATGACACCACGCGCGGCCAAGCAACAGGCCGGTTGTTGACGGCCCCATCAAGAGGCCGTGAGGATCGGGCAGCACGTGCTGTTTGTTGCCAACGTCATGCGAGTTGATGCTGAGAATGCACTCTCTCTGGCTATTCGAGTGATGTCATCGCTCACGTGAACAATCTCCCTGTCTGCTGGCAGCCCCATCTCCGCTGAATGATACAGGTCCCACACGCGCAGCCGGTTGTCCTGCGTGGCGCAACAGATCATCCAGAACAGACAAGATCAGATCAGGTCAACTCAGATCGGGATCGTGTGTGAGTCAAAGAGAGTTGGGAGGAGGGCAGGCTGGGGCAGCGAGGCCAAGTGGCAGGCTCTTGGGAGGGGGTAGCAGCCTGCAAGACAGCCGCGGCCCCAGTGCATGCGTGCAAGTGTGTCAGCCCCCGCAGCCGGGGGCGCCGACCTGGCACGTAGTCATGATCTTGCGGCCCGTCACCGGCGAGTACCAGGCGCTGTTGATGACGCTCTTGTGCTGCAGCAGCGCCAGCTGGCACGGGTGCGCCGCCGCCGCACCACCCCTCGCACCCCTGCCGCCCGCCGCGCCCTTGCCTCGCCCGCGGCCCCTGCCGCCGGCTGCGCCATCCTTGGCGGCGCCGCCGCCGCTGCCAGTGCCATCAAGGTCTGCGCCGCCGCCGTCCTCACCGCCGCCGCCGCCGCCGCTGCTGGTTGAAGAGCCGCCCCCAAGGAAATTTGAGAGCTTTCTCAGATCGAGGATGCGCACGGTGTGGTCGTTGCCTGGCAGGGGCGCCGCGCAGGGGGAGTTGCTGTTGCTGTGTTTACTGACTTATCGTCTTGATGCAATACGCACCGGCATGCTGCTGTCAGCGTTCTCGAGCGCCGTATAAGCATGAGGCAGCAGGCAAGCCGAAGCCCCGAACCCAATCCCGTTTGTTGGCACCATGGTTGATGGACGGCCCCACTAACCAGCCAGTTGGGCAGCTCGCGCCCGCACCCACGCCCCTGCACGCATCTCGCGCCCATGCGCGCGCACCCGCGGTCATCGCCTTTGGCGCGCCCAGCGGCTGCGCCGCGACGCTGCATATCCGCGTCTTCGCCTTATGCAGCAGCGCCACCGCCACGGCCGCGCCCCGGCCGCCCCCGCCGCTTGCACCGCTGCCACTTGCACCGCCGCTGCTGCCGATGCTGCCGGCGCGCGGGTCTAGCACATGCAGGCGGCCCTCGCTGTCCCCGGCCAGCAGGGCCTGCGCATCGTGACCCAGGGCCCCCCCCACGGCATCCAGCCCATACATCATCTCCCAACGCACGGCCTTGTTCCAGCCGTTGGGGTTCAGGTTCACCAGCACCTGGCGGGGTTTTGGGTGCGGGTTGGGCGGCGTGCGGGAACTCGCGTGGGGTATGTGATTGGCGGCGACCAGGTGTGGCTGCGCTTTGACGGCTTCCCATACAGAGGCGCCTCGCCGCAGTTTTCAGGATGAATAAGGAGGTGGCGCCGGCCTGAGGCCCCCTAGATCGGCCAAGATCCAAACACTTTATTGAATATCATCGATGTGTGAGTCACCCTCGATCCGTGGTCACCTGGTGCTGGGCCTGCATGCAGGGGGCAGGGAGAAGCGAGGGGCGGGGGCACGTGGGCGTCGGTGTACGTCCAGGGATGTGGTGGCAGCTAATGAGCATGGCGGCAGCGCGCACGGCTCATCATAAGTGGGTGGCTTGTGAGGCCCGAGCCACCCGCTCTTGGGGCCTCAAACGGGTGCAAGCACCAAAGCACATTCACGCATTTTTGCACGCATGTTGCACCCCAGGCCCCCTGTGCGGCACACAGGGTGGCCACACC